AAATATATAGCAATAAGTGCTCACATAAGAAGCAAGGAAAGATCTAAAATTGACACCCTATCATCAAAATTGAAAGAGCTAGAGGAGCAAGATCAAAAAAACTCAAAACCTAGCAGAAGACAAGAAATAACTAAGATCAAAGCAGAACTGAAGGAGATAGAGACACAAAAAACCCTCCAAACAATCAATAAATCCAGGAGCTGGTTTTTTGAAAAGATAACAAAATAGACCACTGGCCAGATTAATTAAAAACAAAAGAGAGAATAATCAAATAGATGTAATAAAAAACGATAAAGGGGATATCACCACAGATTCCACAGAAATACAAACCATCATCAGAGATTATTACAAACAACTCTGCACATAAACTAGTAAACCTGGAAGAAATGGATAAATTCCTGGACACTTGCATCCTCCCAAGCCCAAACCAGGAAGAAATTGAAACCTGAATAGATCAATAACAAGGACACAAGTTGAGGCAGCAATTAATAACCTACCACCCCAAAAAAGCCCAGGTCCAGATGAGTTCACAGCCGACTTCTACCAGACATACAAAGAGGAGCTGGTACCATTCCCTCTGAAACTTTTCCAAATAATCCAAAAAGAGGGAATCCTTCCCAAATCATTTTATGAGACTAACATCATACTGATACCAAAACCCGGCAGAGATTCAGCAAGAAAAGAAAACTTCAGGCCAATATCCATGATGAACATAGACACAAAAATCTTCAATAAAATACTGGCAAACCAATTGCAACAGCACATCAAAAAGCTTATCCACCATGATCAAGTAGGCTTCATCCTGGGGATGCAAGGCTGGTTCAACATACGCAAGTCTATAAATGTAATTCACCACACAAACAGAACCAAAAACAAAAACCACATGATTATCTCAATAGACGCAGAGAATGCCTTTGACAAAATTCAACAGCCCTTTATGCTAAAAACCCTCAAAAAACTAGGTATTGATGGAACGTATCTCAAAATAATAAAAGCTATTTACAACAAACCAACAGCCAATATCATACTGAATGGGCAAAAACTGGAAGCATTCCCTTTGAAATTTGGCACTAGACAAGGATGCCCTCTCTCGCCACTCCTAATCAATATTGTATTGGAAGTTCTAGCCAGAGCCATCAGGCAAGAAAAAAAAATAAAGGATATTCAAATAGGAAAGGAGGAAGTCAAATTGTCTCTATTTGCAGACGACATGATTGTATATTTAGAAGACCCCATTGTCTCAGCCCAAAATCTCCTGAAACTGATAAGCAACTTCAGCAAAGTCCCAGGATACAAAATCAATGTGCAAAAACCACAAGCATTCCTATACACCAATTACAGACTTAAAGTGAACCAAATCAAGAAGGAACTGCCATTCACAATTGCTACAAAGAGAATAAAATACCTAGGCATACAACTAACAAAGAATGTAAAGGACCTCTTCAAAGAGAACTACAAACCACTGCTCAATGAAGTAAGAGAGGACACAAACAGATGGAGAAACATTCCATGCTCATGGTTAGGAAGAATCAATATTGTGAAAATGGCCATACTGCCCAAAGTAATTTAGAGATTCAATGCTATCCCCATCAAGCTACCAATGACCTTCTTCACAGAACTGGAAAAAAACACCTTAAACTTCATATGAAACCAAAAGAAAGCCTGCATAGCCAACTCAATTCTAAGCAAAAAGAACAAAGCTGGAGGCATCACACTGCCAGACTTCAAACTATACTACAAGGCTATAGTAATCAAAACATCATGGTACTGGTACCAAAACACAGATATAGACCAATGAAACAGAACAGAGGCCTCGGAGGCAATACCACACATCTACAACCATCTGATCTTTGACAAACCTCACAAAAACAAGCAATTGGGGAAAGGAGTTCCTGTTTAATAAATGGTGTTGGGAAAACTGGCTACCCATGTGCAGAAAGCAGAAACTGGACCCCTTCCTGACACCTTCCACTAAATTAACTCCACATGGATTAAAGATTTAAACATAGACTTAACATCTAACTTTCACTCCCCCTCCAAAACTTGCCTCAGTCTCCTTTTCTGCGTTATGCCCCTCCATCAAATTCTTTATTCTGAGGAGGCATGAATTGATGTTGCTGCAGAGCTGTACAGATTCATTGCTGGTAACTCAGATACCTTCTACCAGCAGCAACTTCAGAAACTAGTTGCAAGCCTAGGGCTCCTAGGTCCTCGTTCTTCTGACCAACTGGCTACAAATTCAGGCATTCTCAATGCTCCCTCAAGTTCTGTAATTTGCTAAAATGATTCACAGAACTCATGAAAGTGTTATTATTTTTTATTTTTTTGAGATGGAGTCTTGATCTGTCACCCAGGCTGGAGTGCAATGGCATGCTCTCGGCTCACCACAACCTCCTCCTCCTGAGTTGAAGCAATTCTCCTGCCTCAGCCTTCTGAGTAGCTGGGATTACAGGTGTGCGCCACCACGCCTAGCTAATTTTTGTATTTTTAAGTAGAGACTGGGTTTCACCATGTTGGTCAGGGTGGTCTTGAACCCCTGACCTCATGATCCACCTGACTCAACCTTCCAAAGTGCTGGGATTACAGGCATGAGCCAGGGCGCCCAGCTAAAAGTGTTATGCTTATAATTGTAGTTTTATTATAAAGGATATAGATCAGGACAAGAAAATGAAGAGACCCACAGAGTGAAGTCTGGAAAAGTTCCAAACACAAGGCTTCTGTATCCTCAGAACATTACTTTTCTAAAACATTAATATATAATTGCCAATCACAGCTCACCTGTGCCTTGGTGCCCAGAATTTTTACTGGAGTTTTTTTTTTTTTTTTTTTTTTTTTGACACATAATATCGCTCTGTCACCCAGGTTAGAGTGCAGTGGTGCGATCTTGGCTCACTGCAGCCTTCGCCTCCCAGGTTCCAGCAATTCTTCTGCCTCTGCCACCCAGGTAGCTGGGATTACAGTCATGCGCCACCACACCCAGCTAATTTTTGTATTTTTAGTAGAGATGGGTTTTACCATGTTGGTCAGGCTGGTCTTGAACTCTTGACCTCAGGAGATCCACCTGACTTGGCCTCCAAAGTGCTGGGATTAATGCATGAGAAACCATGCCTGGCCTGGAGTTTTACTATATAGGCATGATTGATTGAATTGTAACTGCATCATCAGGGACTTGGTCTAGGTCCTGCTGCTTGCTGCACAGAATGCCATCCACTAAGACCATCATTATTGCCAAAGAAGAAAGTTTTAATTGGGTGCTGCAGCCAGGGAGACAGGAAATCAGTCTCAAATCCATCTCCCTGACCAACTAAAATTAGGGGTTTATTTAGCAGAAAAGAAACATAATTGTGTGTGGAAAAACAGGAACTCAGGAGGGGTAAGAAAGCAATCATCATGAATGAGGCTCTTGACCTCTCATTATCTGGTGAGTTTCAGTTCTTTCTTTTTTTTTTTTTTTTTTTTTTTTTTTTTTTTTTTTTTTTGAGACAAGGTCTCACTCTGTTGCCCAGGCTAGAGTACAGTGGTACAATCACCATTCACTACAGCCTCACTCTCCTGGACTCAGGCAATCCTCCCATTTCAGTCTTCCGAGTAGCTAGGACTATAAGTGCACAACATCATGCCTAGCTAATTTTTGTAGTTTTGTAGAGATGGGGTTTCACCACATTGCCCAGGCTGTTCTCAGACTCCTACACTCAAGCAATCCACCCTACCTTGGCCTCCTAAAGTGCTGGGGTTATAGGTAAGAGCCACTGTTCCCAGCCTCTTTGATGCTTTTCAAGAGGCCTGGGGGTCCTTTCCTGAGGAAGGAACTCAGATAAGAGGGAAGTTTTGAGCTTTAAGACAAGAAGGGTCAATTTCTATGTTTATCCAAAAAAATCATCTAGGGGTCTGTTGCATCAGTTTCAGAATCATTGGTCACGTAGTTGAACTGAATCCCCAGCCCTCCACAGCCCCACTACCACACCAAGAGATATAGCTTATATCACATGTAATAACATAGTTGGTCATTCTGATATGGTCAGCCCCTAGCCTGAGTCATCTTATTTGCATAAATTCAAGTGTCATCCCAAGGGCCTATCAAGGATAACAAAGACAATTCTATCACTCCAAAAAATTCCAAGGATTTAGAGGTTATCTCCCAGGAGATGTCACCCAGGAACAAAGGTCAGTCAAATTCTTTACAACAATGTGGTTTTCTTTGTATGTATCCCACTTCTTGGGGTTTGCTGAGCTTCTTTTTATTTTAATTTTTTAACACAGTGTTTATTGCCAGGTGGAACTGTAGTGGCACATCATAGCTCCCTATAGCCTCAAACTCCTGGGCTCAAGCAATCTTCCTGCCACAGACTCCCAAGTATCTGGGACTACAGGTGTGCACCATTACATTTGACTATTTTTAATTTTTTGTAGAAACAGGGTCTTGCTTTGTTGCTCAGGCTTGTCATGAACCCCCATTGTATCTTGGAAGTAACTAACTTGTTTTTTATTTTACAGGCTCATAGGTGGAAGAGACTTGCCTTGTCTCTGATGAAACTTTGGACTTGGACTTTTGAGTTAATGCTAGAATGAGTTAAGACTCTGGGGGACTGTCTGGAAGGTATAATTGTGTTCCACAACGTAAGAAGGACATGAGATTTGGGAGAGGCCAGGGGAAGAATGAGATTTGGAAGGGGCCAGGGTTGGAATAATATGGTTTGGCTCTGTGTCCCAAGTAAATCTCATGCTGAATTGTAATGTAATCCTCAGTGTTGAAGGAGGGGTTTCATGGGATGTGACTGGATCAGGGGCAAGACTTTTCCCTTACTGTTCTTGTAATAATGAGTTCTCAGTATGTAGCATTTCCTCCTTTGTCACTCTCTCTTCTGCTCCACCATGTGAAAATCTGTCTGCTTCCCCTTTACCTTCCACTATGATTGTAGGTTTCCTGAGACCTCCCCAGCCATGCGTCCTATACAGCCTATGGAACTGAGTCAATTAAATCTCTTTTCTTCATAACTTACCCAGTGTCTGGTAGTTCCTTATAGCAGTGTGAGAATGGACTAACACAGGAAGGAAATTCTGGAAAGCACAGTTGCAGCTGAATTGGAACAGTATAAAATTGTCACAGTCCTGGTCTTTACCAACCACTATGATAAAAAAGAGAACAATTAACCCTGACCCCACCATGGACCTATTAAACAAAAATGTAGTGAGGTTTCATGTATTTAAAACCTACAGAATGTAACAGGACAAAATAATTCAGTAAACTCAGTTTTCTGGTTCTGACCACCCAACAACACCTGAAATTCTCAGATATTATGATTAGCACTAACATGGTAGTTTTCAATTTTTTGAGGAGGCTACTATTTTTAATAAAATGATGGACTGGATGGCTTTGACTCAGCAGTAATTCCTATGTGACTTTGTAAATAAAATGGGCCAAGATTACTCAATTTTATGTGCTAATTCTACTACAGTCTTTTATATTTAGCCACATAGTAATATTCTATAAGTAATCTTTGTTTGCTTTCTTGTTGCAACATTTTAATATCTTAGAAGGAAGGAATATAAAATTGATGCAATTATTATTTTTTTCTGTGTGAACTATAAGTCATTTCCAAACATTCTTTTAATGTCACTTTCTTTTAACAAAAAGAACTGAGCTTCAAGTTAGTGACAAGTAAATATAGAACATAAAATTTTTAAAAATAACAAAAAAGAGTGTTCATCTGCTAATAAGATACCATTTTTTCTTTGTTAAAAGAAAAAACTACATTTCATCTATGAAAGTATTTTCTGTCAGAAGTCTCAACATGGCAAGATTGACAAGAGTAATTTTTTTTTCTAAGATGAAAAACATTTTCAAATGAGAGTTAAATTCCTTAATAAAGATGTAATTGGTCTTGTCAGGGAGAGGATTTACACAGTAAGTAAAGAGAAGTTCCAATTTGAAGTTAATGGCATGCAGGACAGCAGTTCTTATAGTCCAAAATCAGTCTTCAGACATTTATCTGAAGGATTATTTCCTTTACATTTCAGAAGAAAAATGTATAGAAGGGGTAGGAATAAATATCAGTTATTATAATAGGAAGATTGTAAAGAGAAAAATAATTCATACTAACATCTTCTCCAGCTCACCTATACTAAATTATTAACTAAAGAGAGAAATGACAAGAGTTTCAGATCATGCAGAGAAGCAAGAATAGAAAATAATGTGTCACATTCAATTTCACCCTCTAATTTCATATCTCTCCCAAGAGGAAATATCTCAGGATACTGAATTACAAGTTCTAGCTAACACACTGAGATGAAGCAGATGCTTTATAGTAAGGTGCCAGAACCAAACTCAAATTTTTAAAGGAAATAATCACAAAATTCTTAGACCTCTTATGTTCTCCACTCCCAGTGAGAATGGAGTAGAGGGTGCCTCATCTCTTTCTTCGTGCTCATTTGGATGGGCTGGGGCCTACACCAAGTTTACTGATACTGCTTACTATTATTCCTACAGTAGTAAGGCATAATAGCTGTATTTTTTTTTCTTTTTCTTTGAGGCAGAGTCTCACACTGTCATCCAGGCTGGAGTGCAATGGTGCAATCTTGGCTCACTGGAACTTCCGCTTCCTAGGTTTAAGCAATTGTCCTGCCTCAGCCTCCTGAGTAGTTAGGATTACAGGTGTCCGCTACCATACCAGCTAATTTTTTGTATTTTTAGTAGAGATGGGGTTTCTCCATGTTGGCCAGGCTGGTCTCAAACTCCTGACCTCGTGATTTGCCTACCTCAGCCTCACAAAGTGCTGGGATTACAGGCGTGAGCCACCACGCCCAGCCAATAACTGCATACTGATTCATGTCCAGGGAAATCAAGAGATGGAGAGATTGGCCCACCAACTGCTTTGGTAGTAAAGTAGGACAGTTTCCTTTGTGATTGGCCCACACTCCTAAATTTGTCCAAGTTTAAGTGAGTGTTTCCCACAACTTGGAGGTGGATTGTGTAGGAGGGAGAGTTCACCTTTGATTCAGTACAATAGGGCTACTGAAAGAAATCAAGGGGGCTCCATTCACAGGGATGAAATCTAGGTGTATGTCAGATTGTTGGAGGTAGTATGGGCAGAGAGATTCTAAAGCCACCACTCAAATACAGACCTGTCCACTAGGGAACCAGAGGTTAGAGACTTCAATGATGGGACTCTTCCAAGCACCCACAAAAGCTATAGAGAGAGTTAGCTCTAAATATCCGCCAGTCCCAGGAACTCAAAACTGGCCTACCAAAGATGAGTTAAAGTAAGCATTTTCTCATTACCTTTCTCTTCTTCCCTACAACGCTCTAACTCTATAGTGCCCTGAAGCTATAGTAAGCTGGCACCTAAAATCAGCACTAGGTGAAGACAAGAAAAGACTAACCTTAAATTGCAAATTTCAATTATTATACAGAAACCAACACTCTAATTTCTGAATCTAGACAGTGTTTTGGGCCTTAAAATGTCTTTAGGACTGCTTATTATCTAAATGTGAGCAGAAAATCTTGGAACTCAAATTTAATAATGGATAAGAGCTTCCACCACTGAAAAGATTTAAGAGATAATGAGAGAACAAAAATAAAATGTTTTATTAGGACTTATATTTAGGGCATGTTCAATGTAAAAGTAATATAAAAATCACCTTCACATAAACCTTCTACCAACTCCATCTTATCAGGCTCCCTAGAGAAAACAACTTGTTCTTCACTCTCTCTAAATAAGAACTCATTCTCTCCTTAGTTCATCAGAAATCTTAACATTTTCTTAGACTTCAGTGGTGATCGGGAGGTGATGCTTAGGTATAAGCATTTGGATAAGAAGATACGCTTGGTGCTATTTTTCTCCCCAAACATTTGTTACTTACTGAGGCTTTGGTCTAATTATTTTCTTACCAAGAATTAGATTTAAACATTACATAAAATCAAAAGTTATAGGGATTATACTATGTTTTGATATCTTCATTTTTCTCCTTTGTTAGCATTTAGGGCATACCCCATAACTCCCATTGCCTCAGTAGTAGATATTTCCCAGTCACATAAGATATGGACTGAGGAAACAGCCCAGCAAGTATAATTTTAGTGAAATAAGAAGAACGAAGTTCTAGTGGTTTGAAGAATAAATGAGAAATATGAAAATGGATATAAGAAATTAATACTAAAATTTCTGGAAGCTCCACAGCAACCAAATCAGATATTCAGTGCTGTTGCAAGAACTAGATTAAATGAAAAAAATAAAGTAAAAGGCCAAATATAAGTATTACAGACCTAATTTTCAAAAATTATGACTCTTTTAAAAATGTTTTAAGCCGGGCGCGGTGGCTCAAGCCTGTAATCCCAGCACTTTGGGAGGCCGAGGCGGGTGGATCACGAGGTCAAAAGATCGAGACCATCCTGGTCAACGTGGTGAAACCCCGTCTCTACTAAAAATACAAAAAATTAGCTGGGCACAGTGGCACGTGCCTGTAATCCCAGCTACTCAGGAGGCTGAGGCAGGAGAATTGCCTAAACCCAGGAGGCGGAGGTTGTGGTGAGCTGAGATCGCGCCATTGCACTCCAGCCTGGGTAACAAGAGCGAAACTCCATCTCAAAAAAAAAAAAATGTTTTAAAATCTATATTTTATGCTCTATGTAAGTCATATAAAATGAGTTCTCATTAAACTTCATTCTTACTTATACAACTATGTTATAAGCTGTATGTTATGAATACAGGTATCAGAAAGATTAAAATTTGCTTTTCCTGCCAGTGACACAACTACTCTGCTTAGTTATTCTTGCTTAGTTATTTCACTACCCATGACAGTGTTCCAGCACATACCTGAGTATGTCGGACAAACTAACATTTAAATTATTATAATTAATGAATGAATAAATGAATAAATAGTTGAACTGTAAATTCCTAGAAAGAAAGGCAATAAGATAAATTCACTTTTTTCCCCTCACATAGGCCTTGTTTGAAGACAATAATTTCGTGGCCAAAGGCCCTCTCTTTGACAATACTTCATTTTTACTTAAAGAGATCTTACCTGGTATGTAGACCTCATTTGTTTGATCCATTTTCCTTTTTCATTTGGGAGACATAATGGTTCTCAGAGTTGCAATATTTTGATGGCATAAAACTAAAAGAATATTTGATTTGTGGCCAGGCACAGTGGTTCATGCCTGTAATCCCAGCAGTTTGGGAGGTGGGTAGATCCAAGGTCAGGAGATTGAGACCATCTGGGGCAACATGGTGAAACCCTGCCTCTACTAAAAATACAAAAATTAACTGGCCATGGTGGCATGTGCCTGTAACCCTAGCTACTCTGGACGCTGAAGGAGGAGAATTGCTTGAACCAGGGAGTCAGAGGTTGCAGTGAGCCAAGATCGTGCCATTGTACTCCAGCCAGGTGACAAAGTGAGACTCCATCTAAAAAAAAAAAAAAAAAAGAATATTTGATTTGTTATAATCTGAAAGACTATAAGGCTAATGAATAAGAATAACTCTATGCGGCTGGGCGCAGTGGCTCACGCCTATAATCCCAGCACTTTGTGAGGCTGAGGTGGGCAGATTATGAGGTCAGAAGATCAAGACCATCCTGCCCAACATGGTGAAACCCTGTCTCTACTAAAAATAGAAAAATTAGCTGGACATGGTAACGCACACCTGTACTCCCAGCTACTCAGGAGGGTGAGGCAGGAGACTCAATTGAACTCAGGAGGCAGGGCCAAGATTCTACCACTGCACTCCAGCCTGACAACAGAGTGAAACGGTCTCAAAAACAAACAAAAAAACAGAATAACTCTATGCTCACTTCAGGTGATTTATATGCTATAGGAGTTAACAATCTAGTTCTTGTCTTTCTTTTGAATAAATTAACAAATATTCCTGGAGTATCTACTGAGTACAAAGCCTGAGCCAGTTGGACCCTGCTATGGACTCTTGAACAAGAAGAACCAAAAACATGACAGACAAAAGGTAGGAATCTGATTAAGAGCAGTTGAGAAGATGATACAAGATCAATTGAGATATTCTGCAAAGCCGAGAATGAAGTTAGACCCTTTTCATTTTAGTCTGCCGACAAATTTAAGCAATGTAACATCAAAAAATATTAGATTTATTAATTATATATTTGTCTATTTTATGCTTAAATGTAGCTACACTATATGTTAGATTAAATGCAATGGGGTGTTAATATTAGACCCTAGAGTAAAGTCATCACTGAAAACCAGTGAAAGCAAATAGAGTCTGTAGTTTAGTTAATAATATTCTAGCAATATTAATTATTTTAGTTTCGAAAAATGGTTATAACAGATGTTAACATTAGAGCAAACTGGATAAAGGTTATATGAGATCTCTTTTGGCTATTTTTATAACTTTTATATAAATTTAAAATTCAAAATAAATCGATTATTTAAAATTGTAATTAGAACAACTCTGTATTTTTTTCATAACTCTCATCACTTTGTATTAAAATGTTTTTAAAATCAAATTGTGTCATGTCAACAGCTTATTTGCGACTTTATTCGAGACTTTTTAGTGCCACTGAGTTTAATGGTTTGCCCATACATTAAACTGAGCAACCCTGAGGAGGCATTCTGTCCTCTTCCTGGCAGAAGTACTAGTATTTTCCAACAATTACTTCTGCCTTAGGTCTGGATAATGTCCTAAACATTTTGCCTCATGTTCATTTTAGCTGCACATTTTAAAGGGGACAGTTTCTAGTTACACAATGTTTCTTTTACTATCTGGTAATGAGAGTTATAATAACTACTTCAGGCTCAGACCACATTTTGTTAGAGGTAGCTATTATGCTTTCTTCTTTGTTTACAGTACACAATAATCCTCATCATTTTGAGATATTTATCAATTTCTCATCTTATTTTAGTTGCTATGATCATTTCCCCATATGTATGCTATGTGAAAGAAAACTTTGAGCTTGTGTTCACTAACAAGGAAAAAGCACTGGAAAATAAGTACATGGGGCTCAACACTATCCTGAAACAATAGGAAGACCTAGTAAGATAGTAATCTTAACGGCAGCAAAAGTTATTAACATTAAACTAAAAACATCTACACAGCAACAACCTAATGTTCTGATTAATGAGAGGTAGGAACACTGATGGAAATCAATATCTGTTGCTGGTGTTAATATTAAACATTAAAGTAATCCACAGAGGGAAAATACAACTATTGCAGGTTAAATGACAATTACAGCTTTTCTGATTGGTTGTTTCAAGCAGGAGGTCCAGTAGAAGCAAAGTAACCAAGACAGGGGTTTTCATATCATGTCTTTCCAAATAATCACTGTCCTAAGTGAGGGGTAGAAGACTGTCACACTGAGGTATTAGTCAGTTTTCACACTGCTATAAAGAACTGCGCAGACTGGGTAATTTATGGAGGAGGAACCTCCAAACACTTAAAAACCATCAGCTCTCCTGTGAACTCCCTCACTATCTGGAGAACAGCATGGAAGAACCATCCCCCACTATCCAATGACTTCCCTCCCTCCACGGTGAGGATTACAAATTGAGATGAGATTTGAGTGGGGACACAGAGCCATATCATATCAAGGTGTGAAAGGATTCTAGAAATCAGTAGTTTGGGTCGTTAAAAATTACATGGCTGGCTGCGTTGTGCAGGGCCGTTTACTTCAGCTGCAAAAATTTTTCGCTGCATGAGGGGATAGGGAGGGAGGGCTGTTCTCTGCTGGTCCTGCAATGTAATCAAGACAGAGAGGGGTTTTTACATAGTGTCTTAATTCTCACAGAGGTTGGCTTCAAATAATAGATAAAAGCTTGTCTTCCCGACTCCAAGCAGCTACTTTCTGACAGTTGAAACAAGCTTTCTCTTACTGCATAGTAGAGTCCCTTACAGGTATCAGTGCCGCCGCAAGTTTTAAATTCATTGTCACCTGGAAGCTTTGGCTGGAGACTACTCAGCTCGTCACTCAACTAACGGCTTTTGGGGGTTCTTTTTTCCCAGTTGAGTTTCCGTCTTTTACGCGTTTGGATTTATGGTCTGCTAGAATTTTTTCCAAGCTGAGAGTGAAGACTCTTAGTTTCCTCAATTAGCATAAAAGCTGCTCCAAGGCAGCTGAGTCTTCAGTTCCATGCCTCAAAATGTTAATTCTTGAGGTACCCACCCTGAGCCCTACTATTCTTTGTCCCACGACTTCTCGAAATTATCTCAAGTGTTCTAACAGAAGCCGCCTCCTAGCCCTACCTGCAACGCACGGCTCACTCGGCAGTTAGCGCCAAAGAGCACCACAAAAACGCATGCGCCAGTCGGCTGTTGTGGGCGGAGGAGAAATCGCGTCGGCCGCAGACGATGATGTAAGAAGGCCGCGCCGTACTTTGGACAGTGCGGCTTCCGCGAGAAGGTTTTTGGCCTATTGCAGCCATGGTGCATTGCAGTTGCTTGTTGTTCAGAAAGGTCCGTGCGGGTCCCCTCAGCTTGGTCCCCTTAGCGCTAACTGATGGCTCTGGTTCTCCGTCGCTCCACTGTCTCTCCACTACTTTCTTTGCGGCGGCCTTTTGCTTGCTTGCTTTTCCCATAGACTTCGCGCATCCTGTAGTCGCGCTTTGCCAGTAAGCGGTGACAATGGTGTGTGTACCTAGCGTGGTTAGAACGGTTTTTTGGGGGCAGGGTTTGAGGTTCTTCAGGGACATTGTGTGCACTGGCTTGAGGAACTGGGGTACCTGCCTGCTGTAACCCAAACGTTACGGTGTTTTTTTTTTTTCTTACTTTAAGTAATATCCATAGCCTGTTTTTGTGTATTTCTCCTTGAGTGCACTGTTTAAGGTTTTTCTAAAGGATTTTTATGAAAACATGAAAGCGTGTAATTAATGTACCTTCTTGCAGAACATTCAGGTCGATGTTTGTGTAGTGTCGGTCTTAAGAATTGTTTCGTTAAAAATTTACAACTGCTTTGAATTAAAAAAAAAATCTTATCCTACTGGTAATGGTTTTTGAAACCTTGCCTGTATCATGTTTTGGCTATTACTTATTTCTAGGGACCAGAGTAAAAAACTCCTTTTAAGTAAGGCTCCTAAGCCCCTGAATCTGATTTATCTAGAGCAGAAAAAAAGTGTTACATGTTTAATGGAACTGTAGAAACTCCTCAAATATATCACAATGGTCAATATTTCAACTGTTTTGGGGAAAAAAAACAGATGTTTTTGATAATAGGTGTCCTAAATGACTAGAGATGTGGTTTATGAATTTAAGAATTACTCTGCAAGGTATTTTTATTTTAATAGCCTAAGAGGTTAGTATGTACATTTTAATAACTTGAGAGGTTAATACAAGAATTTCTTGATTTCGTGAAGGAAACAGGTAAACACTAAATGCAACGTAAGATTTATAAAGGTGTAATAATAGAGATATAATCAAATTGCTGAGAGAGCCAGCAAAGTCAGGGTGATAACTGATTAGAGGAATTTAGAAAGACATTAGAAAATATGACAGGATTTATGATAGAAAAAAACAAATGATATTCTAAGTAGAGGAAAAGCATGAACAGAATAGCATGTAGAAATGGTAGTATTTCATGTAGTACAGGGCAAATAGGAAGAGAGGAAGGTTGAGCAAATGAAAAGGATACAGGAGGGAATTAGGCTTGGTTGGTAAACCTATAGTTCTTACTACTTGGGAGGCTGAGGTGGGAGGATCCCTTAAGACCGGTTCAAGACAAGTCTGGGCAACATAGCAAGACTCCATCTTTTTTTTTTTTTTTTTTTGAGATGGAGTTTCGCTCTTGTTAGCCAGGCTGCTGGAGTACAATGGCGCGATCTCGGCTCACCGCAACCTCCGCCTCCTGGGTTCAGGCAATTCTCCTGCCTCAGCCTTCTGAGTAGCTGGGATTACAGGCACGCACCACCATGCCCAGCTAATTTTTTGTATTTTTAGTAGAGACGGGGTTTCATCTTGTTGACCAGGATGGTCTCCATCTCTTGACCTCGTGATCCACCTGCCTCGGCCTCCCAAAGTGCTGGGATTAGACTTGAGCCACCGCGCCCGGCCAAGACTCCATCTTTTAAACAGGTCGGGTGGTGATGTGGTGCCTGTATTCCCAACCATTTGGGAGGCTGAAGTGGAAGAATTGCTTGAGCCCAGGAGTTTGAGGCTGCAGTGAGTGATGATAGTGCCACATCACACCAGCCCAGGCAACTGAATCAGACACTGTTTCAAAAAATATATATACCAGAAGGGTATTTTAGTGGCTTTGGATATACAGTTGACCCTTGCAGAACATGGGGGTTAGAGGTGCCCCCTAACAGTTGAAAATCTTCATATAACTTTCAGCTCCCCCAAAAAACTTAATAATCTGTTGGCTGGAAGCCTTACTGATAACATAAACAGCAAGTCGACACATATAAAATATGTTATATATATAGTATATACTGTTTTCTTACAATAAAGTAAGCTAGAGAAAAGAAGCTTACTAAGAAAGTCATAAGGAACGGAAAACATATTTACTGTTCATTAAGTGGAAGTGAATTATTGTAAAGGTCTCATCCTTGCAGTCTTCAGGTTGAGTAGACTGAGGAGAAAGAGGTGGAGTTGATCTTGCTCTCTCCAGTGGCGGAGGCAGAAGCAGAAGCGGTGGAGGAAGTGGAATGGGAGGCAAGAGAGGCAGGCACACTATGTGTAACTTTATGGAAGTACATTGTAATTTCTGTCATGCTTTTGTTTTTCTCTTTCCCCTAAAAATGTTTCTATAGGGTACCAGTCCTTCTTCCACCATTTGCTTTAGTTTCAGTGCCTGTTTCACAGAAGGATCCATGTCATAAAAGAAGTCAAAAACAGTCCCGAATAACAGGAGCCCTTCTGCCAGATTGTCTAGTGTTGGTTTTTCTGGTGGTTTATTCTGTATTTTCTTCCCTGTTATCTGGGACTGGATCTGAAGTACTCATCTCCATCAAGCTATCTTCTCTCGTTTGTTGTGTGCTACTTCTTGAGTTTCTTCAAAATCCATATCTTGAAGTCCTTTACCCACTCTCCCGCTGTTTTGGGCATATCCACAATCTCTTTAATGATTTCCTTGATTGGCTCTATTGTAAATCCTGTGAAGTTATAACACAACACCTGGACAAAGTTTTCTCCAGCACAGACTTAACTGTTTTGGGCTTACTGCTTTCATGGCTTTTTCAATAATAATGACATCTTCAATGGTGTAATAACTTTCAAACGTTCCTGAAATTTTCTCTATTGGGGTTCTTTTCCAGTTGAAAATCCTTTCCGTAGAATATCATGTGTAATGAGCCTTAAAGGTCCTTGTGACCCCCTGATCTACAGGCTGATTTAGAGACATTGTGTTTGGGGACAAGGATACCACTTCAGTGCCTTTGGTGTTAAACTCATGGGGTTCTGGGTAGCAGGGGTGGGGGGTGTGGGGGTACTGTCCAATATCAGAACTTTACAAGTCAGTCTCGTATTTGCAAGGTACTTCCTGACTTCAGGGAGAAAGCATCCATGGAACCAATCCAGAGAAAAGGCTTTTGTTCTCTAGGTCTTGTTGTCCAACAAAAACTGGCAGCTGGTGTTTATCTTTCCCTTTCAAAATTGAGAGGTTACCAGCTTTATAAGTTAGGACAGGCCTTACTGTAAACCCAACTGCATTTGCACAATACAATAGGGTTACCCTATCCTGGCCTTAAATCCTGGTGCTCACTTCTCTTCCTTACTAATGTCTTTTGTGGCATGTTTTCCAGAATAGGGTACTTTCATCAGTATTAATAACCTGATTAGGGAAATATTCTTTCTTCTCAGTGATTTTCTTAATGGCATCTGGGAACTCATCTGCTGCCTCTTGGTTGGCAGAACCTGCTTCTTCTGTTATCTTGATATTTCTAAAGCCAAAGACAAATCTCTTTCCAAAATTATCAAATCATTCTTTGCTGGCAATTAATTCTTTAGCTTTAGATCCTTCACATTCCTTTTGCTTTTAAATTGTCATATGATAGCTTTCTTTTTTCTTAAATTGTATTAGTCTGGAAGTATGTTTTTAAAATAGCAATCATACTTCCAGATAAATGCTGCATTTTCAATATAAGAGAAAAAGTTAATTCCCAAAAAGTACAAGGTTTTAGTACCTCTTGGCATAGCTGCAGCAGTGGCTTCGTGAATGTTTTTTTCTGCATTGATTCTTATTCTGGATTCATTTGTCTTGAAATAGCGGGCCATCGCAGCTACACACTTTAATCTGTGGTACCTATCAAGCAATTCAACTTTTTACTGTAATGTCATGACTTTACTTCTTGTGAGCACTGCCAGCATCACTAGTGGCACTTTGTATGGGTTCCATGATGTTGTTTTAGGTTTACACTGAACATGAAAAATGCGAGAGAACTGTTGAGAGATCACTTTTTACTGACATACAAAATTTACTGGCAAGGTGAACTGCTCATGAGGAGGTGATTAGCATCACATGTCCTTTTAAATGTCTACTTGGGACACTTGAGCTCACTGGGATGGCAACAGGAAGTAACTATGAAATTTAGTAGTACAGGGTGTACATTTAATTTTATACAGTTATGATATAATACTGCATCTACATTTGCTTACATTTAACTTCAAATGCTGCCATGTAAAGACTGTAAGTATAAGTTTTGATAAATTTTAACTTTTTATTTATTTATTTTAATTTTTTATTGCATTTTAGGTTTTGGGGTACATGAGCAGAACATGCAAGACAGTTGCGTAGGTACACACATGGCAGTGTGCTTTGCTTCCTTTCTCCCCTTCACCCACATTTGGCATTTCTCCCCAGGCTATCCCTCCGCTCCTCCCCCTCCCACTGGCCCTCCCCTTTTCCCCGCAATAGACCCCAGTGTTTAGTACTCCCTTCCCTGTGTACATGTGTTCTCATTTCTCGTCACCCGCCTATGAGTGAGAATATGCGGTGTTTCATTTTCTGTTCTTGTGTCAGTTTGCTGAGGATGATGTTCTCCAGATTAATCCATGTCCCTACAAACGACACGAACTCATCAATTCTGATTGCTGCATAATATTCCGTGGTGTATATGTGCCACATTTTTCCAATCCAGTCTATTATCAATGGATATTTGGGTTGATTCCAGGTCTTTGCTGTTGTAAACAGTGCTGCAATGAACATTCGTGTACATGTGTCCTTATAGTAGAACGATTTATAGTCCTTTGGATATATACCCAGTAATGGGATTGCTGGGTCAAATGGAATTTCTATTTCTAAGGCCTTGAGGAATCGCCACACTGTCTTCCACAATGGTTGAACTAATTTACACTCCCACCAACAGTGTAAAAGTGTTCCTTTTTCTCCACATCCTCTCCAACATCTGTTGTCTCCAGATTTTTTAATGATCGCCATTCTAACTGGCGTGAGATGGTATCTCAATGTGGTTTTGATTTGCATCTCTCTGATGACCAGTGACGATGAGCATTTTTTCATATGA